ATCTATCTATCTATCTGTCTGTTCATCCGTTTGTTCGTTGGATCATCTATATAATTTAGCAACCACCCAGAATGCCATAGCAGTGCTCTAGAACCCATCCAGAACACCCTAGAAACTGCTTAGTAACCACTCAGGATACCTTAGTAAACTCTTACCAAGGCCTACATCCCTTCAGACTTGAAATCTCTCTTCAAACTGTCCAGTAACTCAAACTACATACGGCCCGTGTAAGCTTCATACTGTGTTAACATCAGTCGTGGCTTGCGGTGTGTTTGTTCGCAGGGAATATGGGCTGTCGTACCTGTCCCTCAGGGCATGTATCGGGCTGTGGACGGCGTTCCTCTGTCTGCTGCTGGTGGCCACTGATGCCAGCTCCCTCGTCTGTTACATCACACGCTTCACGGAGGAGGCCTTTGCCTCTCTCATCTGCATCATCTTCATCTATGAGGCCTTGGAGAAGCTCATTCATCTTGGGGAGACGTATCCCATTAATATGAACAACAATCTGGAGAAACTCACCATTTACAGGTGAACATAAAGACCCAGAGTAATATAGACTCCAATGCTGTATAGAAGATCAGTATGATTTAGTATTATAGAAACAAATGCATTTTACCCTCAATATTCTGTTCTTGTAGATGTTCCTGTATTGAGCCTGCAAACCCCAGCAATGCCACTCTTCAATATTGGGAGCAGAACAACATCTCAGCTCCGGAGATCTTCTGGGAGGCTCTGGAAGTTCAGGTCAGAATTGCATTTGTGATTTTTGAGAATCCCTGACTGGTTTACAAATAATTTTAATGTATCATATTTTATATGCAAATTTCAGAGGCCTGTAAATGATCAACATGATCAAAACTTTACTGAAAAACCTGTCGCACACAATCTACTACATGCCTTCTGCCAACTGATTGATAGATTCAACTTTTTTAGCAAGCAAAAGCCTTTTAGAATAATTTTACAAAATACTCAAATACTCATAATATTCATAACTTTGAACACTTATGTGTGATTTCAGTGTGGTGATCTCTGATTTTGTGACTACATACATAACAACAGTCAAAATTGTCAAATTACAAATATTTTGCAAATGAGACATTTTGAGAATAATGCTGATTGTTATTTTAGTCGTATAACCTGCATTGGATCAACTCCACATTTGCTTCACATTTAAACAAAGTGATTCCAAGCATGTTATGTTTGATGGCAATTTAAAATGTCTCATTTGAGTGGCATGATAGAGCGGGACTGTTAAGTGAGATTAAGGAAATTTGAGCTGGATTACATTTGTTAAATCACCATAAAATCTAAAAGATCATTACTGCTGCTCGTCTTTTAATGGGCAAGAGTGAAAATAACAGTATGTTAAGCAGATGTGTTTGAGATTTGGAAATTCAGTAATGCATAGCATTTAAAGAGATCACCCCAAAATGAATCGCTTATCATTTGCACCCTCATGTTATTGTGAGTGAACTATTACTTTAAGAAAAAAAAAAAGCTAGCCTAACCCGTTATATCTCTTTCTCCTTTCAGGACTGCATTGAGAAGAAAGGAGAATTTGTGGGGTCGGCTTGCGGGCCTCACGGTCCGTACGTTCCTGACGTTCTCTTCTGGTCTATAGTTCTCTTCTTCTCTACTGTGGCCATGTCAGCGTTCCTCAAAGAATTCAAGACCAGCCGCTACTTCCCCACCAAGGTACATCATCCGCCCACCGTCTGTCTGAGAGCCACCGCTGTCGCCGCACTTTGTTCTAAAATAACTCTGGCGCCCTCTAGTGTTACTGTGGAGTATCTGTTGCTGTTGTAAGGAGGGGAACAATTGTAAAAAACGTGAAAAAAAGTGACGTGACATGTGGCCAAGTATGGTGGCCCATACTCGGAATTAGTCGTGGTATTGAAGGTGGGAGAGAGTGCTGTACATTCACTCCCCCCACCTACAATCCCTGCCGGTACGAGACTCAAACCCGCAACCTTTGGGTTACGAGTCCGACTCTCTAACCATTAGGCCACGACTTCCCCTAAAAGTCCTAGTAAATCCTAAATCCTTTAAATCCTGTTACCTCCAGGTCAGAGCCATCATCAGTGACTTTGCAGTCTTCATCACTATTTTTACGATGGTTCTGGTGGATTACATTTTAGGAGTGCCTTCCCCCAAACTGAAGGTCCCTAATGTGTTTAAGGTTTGTTTATGTCTTACAATTTCAATTATTATGATGTTGGCTTGAGAAAGATATGCATAGCAACCATCCAGAACACCCTAGCAACTGCTCTATCTATCTATCTATCTATCTATCTATCTATCTATCTGTCTACTGTTCTATTTTATCTATTGTCTTTTAAACTTCAAGTTTTTAAAACTATTTCAGTTTTACATTTTTCAAACTATTTTAAACCTTCAGATTAGGCTTTCTCAAGCCAACAGCAAACTTTTTCACACATTACCTTCTTGTTCACTAATATTTAATTTAACTACATTTATTTTTTATCTTAATCTATTTTTTAATGTAATTAACACAAATGAGATATTGTGGACTGTAAAAGTAGAATAAATGATGGAAATGAAACATTTTAGAAAATATACAAAGTGTTATCATGTACAATGGAATAAATGAAGGAATATACAATATGAAATTATATAATTTGTGTTACAAATATGATGTGAAAAAAGAACTGTACAATGAAATATACAATGTTATGTACAATTAACTTCACAAAAAACAATGTTCAAAGTTTATTATGTTAGCCATATGCTAACTTTAACAGTATATATATATATATATATATATGTTTTAAAAGACTGGATAAGAATAGTTTTTGCAAGTTTATTATAGTCTTGCAACTATGTTTTCAGCCAACTCGTGATGATCGTGGGTGGTTCATTAACCCGCTGGGTCCGAACCCGTGGTGGACGTGTGTGATTACAGTCGTTCCCGCCCTCCTCTGCACCATCCTCATCTTTATGGACCAGCAGATCACAGCTGTGATCATCAACAGGAAGGAGCACAAGCTCAAGGTGCCCTAGTTTCTTCAAACAGTCAGTCAAGTCTGAATGAAATGAGTTAACCCTTCGTTTGACGTCTTGTTCCTACAGAAAGGCTGTGGCTATCATCTGGACCTGTTCATTGTGGGCGTGATGCTGGGCGTCTGCTCTCTGATGGGGCTGCCGTGGTTCGTGGCAGCGACGGTTCTGTCCATCACTCACGTCAACAGTCTGAAGCTGGAGTCCGAGTGTTCGGCGCCCGGAGAACAGCCCAAGTTCCTCGGGATCAGAGAGCAGCGGGTCACTGGCCTCATGATCTTCCTCCTCATGGGCTGCTCTGTATTCATGACCTCAGTGCTGAAGGTCTGGAGCTCAGTGATCAAGATATCCATAATTGCATTTAGATTTATGCATTTGGCTGATGCGTTTACATTTTATGCACACACCCTTGTGAAAAAGAAGCATGCTTAATTATAATAAATGTGTGCTTGTAGTTAATTCAAATCTTAAAAGTATATATTTAAAAATAATATAATGTTACTAAAATAAAAGGCCACTTAAGTGTACTAAAAGAGTAAAATGAATGACTATGTTTCTTAACACATAACACACTTAACACACTTATGTGCACTTTTAAAAAGCATGCCACACTTTAATAATGTTAGATTGAAAGTTTCACTTTTAAATAATTATTTTTTAATAATCTTCTGTTGTGCTTTAAAGTACACTTATTTTGATTTGTTGACATAAAGCTCATGTAAAGTACTTGATTATAATTTTAACTGTAGTGTGTTATTTAGTATTAAATTTAAAGTTAGTATATTTTATATGTACTAATTACAGTATATTTTAGTCACATAAATATTTATCAGTTCATTCAGTCAGTACACTTTAAGCACGTTTAAAAAAAAAGTAATCATGAAATTACATATAAAATTGTACTTAAGTGCTACTTAAGTGGGTCAAAAAGCACTCGAACGTTCAGCTAATTGCATTTCATATGAATTTGAACTATTACATATTTTCATTTGCAAATGAATGGCAAATTAAAGCAATTGTCTGCAAAAAAAAAAACATTTAGTTCTAACACTAAGGTGTGCATTAAGTTCACACTTAAGTATATTCTCTTAAAGTGCATTATTATTATTATTTCCATAATAAGTATTAAAGTGTACTCCTTTTTCATAAGGGTAGTTCATTCATTTCCTGGGATTCGAAACCACAACATGGGTTTTGCTAGCGTTGTGCTCTGCTGTTTGAGTTATACAGTAGAAACGCTATTTTAGAAGTGTACGTTAAAATGGTTCATATCATGAGAAATCAGATTTTACTTGATCATTTGAAAAGTAAGAGGTCATTATACAATATGATCATATAACACTAAATTATGACTGAATTTTGCACAAAAGTTTTTATAAATTTAAAATTTATATTAAGGTGTGAACTCAGGGTGAAATATTAGGTAATGAAAATGTTTATTTTGTTTATTCCTTAGTTTATTCCAATGCCAGTGCTGTATGGAGTTTTCCTTTACATGGGTGCATCTTCACTGAGAGGAATACAGGTAAACACACTATAGACGAAGTCTGTTTACAGTATATAAGCATTTACAACTTTATAAAACTTGCCAAAATATTACTATTATTTTTTTTCTGTTATTCTGTTAAAAGCTCATGTTAGGTAATCTCTAATGCAGTGTCCACAATACTATTCAAAGCAGTGTTGTTTTAGTATCATTCAGATACTATTATAGTTTTTATTAATATTTTGAATTTTTGTTACTTTTAGTTTCTTTTAAATTTTTAAGTTTTAATCATTTTGTTGTTTTTGTCATTTTTAGTAGTTTTTTTTAAATAAAAGTTTTGAATCGTTATTACTACTAGCTGAATTAAATTGAGTTTATTTTATTTTTTATATTTTAGATAGATAGATAGATAGATAGATATTTTACATAACTAGAAACATTTATATTCGATATAAAAATGCCCCATGGAGTTATTTTTTGTTTTTCATTACTTTTTCAGGTTTAGAAATCACTTTTAAAATTAGGCTTCCTCATATATCCACTTTTTCCAAGATTGTGGGAATCCTGGTTCTTCAAAGACATAAAACAGATGAATTAAACAAAAAATAATAGTTTTAGCTTATTTTAAGTAAGTCATCTCGAGGCCCCTTTGGATGTTTGCTGAGGCCCCTGGTTGAGAACCACTGCTCTAATGTACACATTTCTCCTTTTTTCTATTATTTTAGTTTTTTGATCGTTTGAGATTGTTCGGGATGCCGGCTAAACACCAGCCAGACTTCATTTACCTGAGACACGTTCCACTCCGAAAGGTTCATCTGTTCACCATCATCCAGCTCAGCTGCCTGGTTCTCCTCTGGGTCATCAAAACCTCCAGAGCCGCCATAGTCTTTCCCATGATGGTGCATACTTAACTTTTTTATATTATTGTTAATATTTACCACAGTATGCAAGTGTAAACTAGTTTGATCCATCATAGATGGATAGTAATAGCATATAGTTGGTCAAACATGTCCAAGCGTGTCTGCTAGAGTAATTGCCTCGTTAAGCATCTCTTAACTGTTTCAACTCATGTTTTCTGAGTAATATGTGATAATTGAATTAGTGATTTGCTGTCGGCAGGTGTTGGCGCTGGTCTTCATTAGGAAGCTGCTGGATTTTATCTTCACAAAGCGAGATCTCAGCTGGCTCGATGACCTCATGCCTGAGAGCAAGAAGAAGAAACTGGAGGACGCTGAGCGAGAGGTGAGCTTTACCATTTATTATCTAAATAGAACGCTCACTGTGAATAAGCACTTGTAATGTGGCTGCAAGCAGCAATTTGCAAGGTCCAAGCAGAGAAGAAAGAACAAATGAAATGCACAGATGTGCCTGACATTAAAGATCAGAACGGGGATTTTAAAAGAATCCATAAAATCCTGGACAAAAGATTGGGGTTGTTTTTGAAAGAAGTCTCTTCTACTTTTTTTATTTGAATATATTTTAAAGTGTAATTTATTCCTGTGATCAAAGCTGTATTTTCAGCATCATTACTCCAGTCTTCAGTGTCACATGATTCTTCAGAAATCATTCTAATAAGCTGATTTGCTGCTCAATAAACATTGCTGATTATTATCAATGTTGAAAACAGTTGTGCTGCTTCATATTTTTGTGGAAACGGTGATATTTTTTCAGGATTCTTTAATGAATAGAAAGTTCAAAAGAACTATTTATTCGAAATAGAAGTGTTTTGTAACATTATAAATGTCTTTATGTCAATTTTGATCAATTTAATGTGTCGTTGCTGAATAAAAGTATCAATTTCTTAAAAAAAAAAAAAATCATACTGAGCCCAAACTTTTGAAGGATAATGTATATTAAGCCAAATCGTCAGCAACTTGTTGCCCTCTGTCAGATTTTAGTGATATAACATTTACTCATATTTTTACTTATATATTAAACATGAGCAGAATACATTTTTAATAGATTTATTTGTACAGAAATCATTGCATACATAAATCCATCTCTTTTTTCAATGCCGTTCAGATTTTAAAATGTTACTAAATAAACTTTAAATTTTGAGTAACTCTGCACACATTTGTCATCCATTCCTTCACATTTAGTTAGTTATATGTCCAAATAGCATGCATGCCCAGTTTTGTGCAAATCAGTTGCGTAGTTCATGAGAAGAAGATTTTTGCATGTTTTAAACATTCCTCAAAAATACAGGCAGAAGAATTGGAAGAACTATTAAAAGGAACAAAAAAATCTCACATCTGTCATTTAACCGACCAGCAGCGCTGAGCGCTTACATTTAATATTTTGGTACTCTGGTTGCTAGGCAGCACTAATCCATCACATAATTGAGATTATTAAAGTTAGCCAGTGAAATAACCTCAATGCAAAATTTGGTGACTTCTTGCCACACAGCGAAAAAGTAGGGGACAAATAATGACCTGCTACAAATACTTCACTGTTTGGACCCCTAAAAACACGAGTAATTAGTAATTGGAAGACAATGTTTGTATAACTGAATGACTCAACATGACTGCTGCTCGAGTTTATTTATATAAGCTGAATAAAAGTAAAAGCATGGGTTTTCTTCGGCGAGTTTTTGAGGTCCTGCTTTAATGAGGAGATCTGATTTGTGCTCCAGTTTTGCAGTTTGTTTTTCCTGCATTCAGAGACTTTCTGACCCCCTGGCACATAATCTCATGTTTTACTCTTGCTAAAATTGCCATGATACGTTTCTTATAGAGAGACCCCAATTCACCCACCTCAGTATCTGAATGCATTCATTTCATGCCAAACAAATGGAACATGAATCGATCTGCCAAAATGTCCTTCAGCAAAGTTATTTAATCTCAAAGGGTCTCTGAAGTTCTCTTTGGCTGGACGGGAATAAAACTCTCTCTCGCTCTTTCTCCCTGTGTTTACTGCCAGGAGGAGCAAAGTATTTTGGCAGAGGAAGAAGGAATCGTACAAGTGCCATTGGAGGGACATTACAAGTATGGACCAGATTTTCCTAACTAATTCCCACAATAGCAAGCAATACTAGTTTTTGTTGTTTTAAAAAACAATAGGGCAATACTTAACATGGATTTTACCATGGGTTCTGTATTTTTTATAAACATACTTATACTGTACATATACACTAGAGAAAGAATGAAATAAGTAGAATGAAATAAATACTTAAATACGTCAACAAGTAGAATTAAAGACAAATTATAAATATTGACATTTATTAAACATTGGAATAAGCAATTGTAAAGCGTTCGCCATTGCATTACAATGTTGAGTCAAAATCATGTGTTTTATGATTGTTTTCATGCACACACACTCTTATATTTAATTGATTTTATGATGTTTTTAATGGATATTTTCAGAGATGATCCTTCTACTGTCAACATTACTGATGAAATGTCCAAAGGCTCCTTTGGAAATACTTGGAACTCCAAAACTGATCTGAACTCAAAAAGGTTCTAATTTATTTTCATATGAATATTTTTTTTTTTTTGGTATGAGCACACCACTTCTGCATTAAGTGCCAGAAAATCTCTCTGCAACCAGCCACACAATTTAAAGAATAATTTATGTTTATGTCACTTGGTTGTAAGCATTGTGGGATGAGTTACACATTGAAGTTTAAAAGCTGAAAATCATTTACTGTAGCTAATTTGGCGTTCCTGGTCAAAAATTACTGGCCTTTTAAAAATTGCTTTTAAATCTCTCATTACACTACAGTATATTATTATCACCAAATCTTGGATTCAATCTTTTTATCAGCTTGTTTCTTTCATTTAACACAGGTTTTGTTTTTCATTTTGGAACTGATTGATCATAGGCCTGAAAAAAAAATCACAAAAAA